GCCCTGGGGAGCACCAGGGAATGTGGTTCTTCCCCCCCTCCCCATCCTTTTCCCGGTGATATCCCCACGGGACCCCCCTTCCCGGCGGTGTTTCCACGCTGCCCACCCTAATCCCGGGGGGATCACGTCCCTGTGGGACCCCATTATCCCGTGGGTGCCCCCCACTCCTCCCAGCCCTGGGGGGCTGCTGGAGGTGGCACTTCTTGTGCTGGGCGACGTGGATGGAGCCCTTTTCCCGGGGTTCTCCAGAGGCATCCAGGACTTTCCCTTGTATATCAAATTGATATATTTACTGTAATATCTCTAATTAAAAGGCAGCACATCCCTGTGCCTGCGGAGGCTGAAGGAAAGCAACAGTTAATGCTTCCCTGGAGCTGGAAACATCATCTGGTTTCCATTAGCCGGCTTTTTCCCCTTTTTTTTTTCCCCCAAATCTTCCATCCCAATTGATACTTCCCTGTTCCAATCCCTGGGCTGCCTCCTTTGACATGGAGTATCCCTTTTTCTGGGTATTTTCCCATCAAAAACCAAAGCTCTGGGCTGGAGGTGAGGAAGGTGGTGGTGGGGGGTCTCCATTCCCTGTGCTGTTCCCAGGGGATTTACTTCCCAACTAACCCATCCTGGAGAGCTGAGCTGTTCTCCTCCTCCCCCTCCTCTCCCAGGCTTCTGGGACGACCAGTTTAGGGACTAAAAAAAGTAACTGGAAGAATTCTGGGCTCTCCAGCGACATTCCTGAGCTTTGCAGACCCTGCTGCTGACATTTTTAAGGGATGATGTTTCCTCCTGGGGCTGGGAATGGCTTGGAGCTGAACTGTCACCCCTCTGTCCTGGGTTTTGGGGGCAGTGAGTGGCTCAGTCTCCTGGGCTGGCCTCCAGTAGCTGCAGGATGTTGGGATTGGGGATAATTGGAAGGGGGGGTGGGGTTGTGGATCACTGGAAAGGGAAGGGGGTTATTGGGATTGTGGATATTCAGAAGGGAAGGGGGGATGATCCGTCACTTCCTTCTGCTCAGACACTGTCTGGGGGCTGTGCTCTGTCTGGGCTGGTGGCTGTGTGTCCAGGAACACCCGGAGATGGTGTATTCCAGCTGTTGGGAAGCAGGCAGGAGCCTGCAGTCACCATCTTGTGCTTCTCGGGCTCTTTATCTGCTTCCTCTTCCTAAAAATCGTGGCACTCGTGGGCCAACACACCCCACCCAAAGTGCTGCCCAGGGCTTCACCTCTCCCGGGGCTCCTGGCTGGGAGAGCTGACCCACTTCCCACAAAACCCTGGGACTGGCCGGGTGCTGCAGTGCCTCCCTCCCCGCTTTTTCTGCACCTGGAGCAAAGTCCAAAGGGCAGCCAGGGCGTGTTTGCAGAAGTTGTGCCGACGACCAGGGGCTGCTGGGAGGGGAAACGAGTCTGTGGTGCCTCTGCTGTGCTGCTGGGCTTGCTCTGCAACCCGGAAAGCCCATTTCCCTCCTGGGATCTGCAGAAAACTCGCTGCTCTGCGGGGCTGCCAGGGAAGCAAAACCCCCCTGCCCACAGCCCTGGTGCTGCCCCTCAGCTCTCAGCCCGCCCTGGGAGGGTTTGGGGACGTCCTGGGAGGGTTTGGGGCCGTGCTGCTGTCCCTGCCCCCACGGGAAGGTGCTGGGGAAGGTGCTGGGTGATGTCTCTGCTTCCGCAGGGGAAGTGACACCCCGGAGCTGTCCCGGGGCTGTGGCTGCTGAGCCCACGGAGGGCAGAGGAGTCACCCTGAGCTCTGCAGGGCCTTAAAACCTCAGCCAGGTTGATCTGCAGCCCAGGGGGTCCCTCCTTGTGTTGTCCCCAAGCCCTGGAGCCTCCGGTGGTGCCTGTTCTGGGCGTGCAGTGATGCCTTGGCTTGCTCTGACCCAGGGGAGCTGTGGCTGCCCCATCCCTGGGAGTGTCCAAGGCCAGGTTGGAGGGGGCTTGGAGCACCCTGGGCTAGTGGGAGGTGTCCCTGGGGGTGGAACTGGATTGTCTCCAAGGTCCCTTCCCACCCAAACCATCCCCTGGCTCTATAAATAGATCCCAACACCATGGCCCTGAGCTCTGTCCCCAGACCTGCTCTGCTGGGAGGGGGGAAGTTGCCACTCCCAGAGCAGCCTTCCAGGGTGTCCAGGGTGTGCTTCCCATCCAGCCCAGCCTGGTGGACCCAGGATCACCTCCAGACATGTACCTGGAATTGCCTCCAGGCCTTCAGAGCACTTCAGGCTGGGAACTGAAAAGGAATTGGAAAGCACAGGCGTTAATGCTCCTCTGAAAACCCACTTGAAGCCTGTCCTCTTTCTCTGCAGCCATGCTGGAGTGTTCCTGGAAGCCTAAATAACTGCTGTTCCCCTGTGTCCAGCCGTGTTCCAGCCCTCCTTTCAGTGCTGCCTTAGAGTCTGTGGGTCTGCAGCAAATCCATCAGTGTGAGGCAGAGTTTGAGGGCAGCAAAGGTTTAAGGTTTAAGGGTAGGGCAGATGGGCAGCTTGGGAAGAGCCCCAGGGCAGGAATGCCACTGCTGAGCAATTCCTAGTGGGAACTGAGGCAGGAATATCCTGGAATTGCTTGGCTGGGGGTAGACCCTGCCTGGGAGAATCGTTCTGCCACGGTCAGGGGGCAGCTGGCCCTGCCAGATCCTCCTTGGCTCGTGGGAGCTGGGGGATTCCTGAAGGAAAAGGCTCTGGGATCACGTTGGCTGTCAGTTCATCCCTGTGGACTGACAGTGTTTTGTGCACAGCTATTGCTGGGAAGGGTTAATTACCCCCAGCAGAAAGGCTTTGACCCCCAACAACCCCAAAGAACTCTCTCTGTCCCTAAAGAGTTCCAAAGCTGGGATGGGGAGGGAAAGTCCCCCTGACCAGGCTGTTTGGGAAGGGGGGGGTGTGGAGCAAAGCCCCTCTGGCTGTGGGTGCTGGAGGAACTCGTGTAACCAGAGGGAAGGAACAAATATGTTGCTCAGAGCAACTGAAAGGAGGAAAATTGTCCTCCTGGGCTGAGTCACGTCTCCAGAGCCTGGCAGTGTTTGTGCTCGGGGTGTGGTGACACCAGGGCTTGGCTCCCTGCAGGAACAGGGCTTTGGGGTGGGGAAATGACTTCTCAAATGTCTGAGGGTGGAAATCACAGCCAGAACCCCCAGCTGGGTGCCCTGGGTTTGCTTTTTGAGTGCTCAGCGTGGGCCTGGCTCCCAGGTCTCCCTGTCATCTAATTGGTGGTTTGAGCTCCTAATTTGGGGGTTTTTTGGCTGAGGTTTGTTGGTTTTTTTCCCCTGATTTTGCAGGGTTTGGGTGCTGGAGCAGGGAGGGCAGCTCTAGGGCAGGACTGATTTTTTTCCCTGTGTGAGTAAAGGTGTTGCTTTGGGCTGTGCATTCCCCATTTCCCTGCTCCAGCTCAGCCCTTGCCTGTGCAGGAGCTTCCCTTCCTGGGCTGGGCCCTGAGAATTTTTGACTCCAGACCCCTCAAATCCCGATGGAAACGCAGAGTCTGGGCACTGGGTGACTGGCAGGACACTGACCTTGGTCTGTGTGTGGCTGAGCAGCCTCAGAATGACAAAATCAGGACCATTTTGGTTGGAAGGACCTCTAAGGTCGACCTTTAATTCCTTGGGAGCAGCTCTGAGCCGTTCTGATCGGGTTCCTTCCAACCTGGAAACCCACTGGGGCCAACTCAGCACCAGGTGGAAATCATTTATTTTGGAGCAGCCCTAAAAGGGTTTGACCACCTTCAAACAGCCCTTTGGGGTTTCCTGGGGGTCTCAGCCTGTGCTGTTGGGCCGTGGTCTGAATTCTGCCTTCAGCCTTGGATCTGTGTGAGCTCCCTGTGCCTGCTTCCCATGAGAACCTTTTCCTCCCTGCCCGTGTCTCCCTGGCTGCTGCAGCCTCACCTGACCTGCTCTTCTGGCTGGCACCTGGCAAAGCTCAGCAGAAAAACCCTAAAGCAGCAGCTCTGAAGCCTCCAAACCGGGGCTGTTGCCTCTGGTGGAGCTGGAGCTTCCTCCATCCCGTGTTTGGCCGAGCCCGTGGATTCCTGGAGCTGTGGAAGCTCGGATAGGATGCTCTGGGAGGCTCAGGGAGGTTCATTTTGCCCTCAGTCAGTCAGGATATCTCCTATCCCCCAGATTTTTTGGGAGTCAGGGGTGGCACTGCTGATACCCCGGGAGCTGCTGGGTTGGGATTTTGTGATTCCAGCGGGACCTGGGCCTGCCTGGGGGGGTCACTGGTGTTACTGGGGGGGTCACTGGTGTTAATGGTTGTCCTGTCTGTGTTTCAGTTCTGGCACAAAGCATGTTTCCACTGCGAGACCTGCAAGATGACCCTAAACATGAAGAACTACAAGGGCTACGAGAAGAAGCCGTACTGCAACGCGTGAGTCCCTGTCCTGGGGGGGCTCATCTGGGCTTTGCTGGACCCTCCTCCCTCTTAACCATCAGCCCCCACCCCGAAATGAGGGGTGGGGGGCACCCTGACCTGTCCTGAAACTCTTTTGGTGTTTGCTGGGAACGCAGGGAAAGCGCTGGATGAAGGGATCACACACCAGTTAATACTGGGTTTAAATCAGGGTCACACACCAGTTAATACTGGTTTTAAATTAGGGTCACACACCAGTTAATACTGGCTTTAAATTAGGGTCACACACCAGTTAATACTGGTTTTAAATCAGGGTCACACACCAGTTAATACTGGGTTTAAATCAGGGTCTCACATCAATTAATACTGGTTTAAAATCAAGGTCACACACCAATTAATACTAGTCCTAACCCAGGTTTTTCCAGGCCTAAATCCCAGCTGGTGGCTGCTCTCCAGGCCCAGTATGGGTGGGCAAGAGGGGAATAAAATTCCAATCCAGGCAGGCATTTCCCTGGAGCTGATCCCAACCTGTGCCCCCTTAAAGAAGGGGAAATCAAAAGGTGTTTTCTTCCCCCTCCAGGTATCTGGGAGGAGGGGACAAGGGCCAGGGGGTCACCACGGCCTGTGCTCTGCTGGGCTGGGGGCCAGGGCAGTCACCTGGATTCACTGCTCCTCACCTGGGAGGGAAATGAATCTGGAAGGAAACAAAGCTTGAAGGCAAAGTCCTTCTCTCCTGAGCAGGGAATGGAGGCAGGGCAGGGTAGAACAAGAGCAGCTGCCTGGTCCCTTTTTTGGTCCCTTTTTTGGTCCCTTTTTTGGTCCCTTTTTTGGTCCCTTTTTTGGTCCCTTTTTTGGTCCCTTTTTTGGTCCCTTTTTTGGTCCCTTTTTTGGTCCCTTTTTTGGTCCCTGTTTTGGTCCCTGTTTTGGTCCCTTTTTTGGTCCCTTTTTTGGTCCCTTTTTTGGTCCCTTTTTTGGTCCCTTTTTTGGTCCCTTTTTTGGTCCCTTTTTTGGTCCCTTTTTTGGTCCCTTTTTTGGTCCCTTCTATCAGTTTCTGAGCAGTGCCCCCCACTTTTGTTTTCTTACCAAGGAGGACTCTTTAATTCCTCACCCCTTTCTGGGCTGGGCCTGATGTGTCTCTTAATATCTACGAAGCAGCTTTGGAATGTCATCTTTTGTAGCTGCTTCTTATCCATTGACAGTTCTTAGAAGGAAAATTAGATAATCTCGTCCTGGAATTAGCACTGGTCTGTTCACAGAGTGCTTAAAAACACTAATCCTGACAACATCCCTGCAGGATGGGTGTTGGAGCCATGGAATTCCAGGCTGGTTTGGGTTGAGAGGGGGCCTTAGTGATCACCCAGTTCCACCCCCAGGGACACCTTCCACCAGACCAGGCTGCTCCAACCTGGCCTTGAACACTTCCAGGGATGGGGTATCCATGGAATAATCTGTGCCAGGGCCTCACCACCCTCACAGGGAAGGATTTATCCCTAATTATCCCAGCTAAACTTACTCTCCCTGTGTGTAGGAAAGAGAAATGGTGAGACCAGACCAAACCCTCCCAGTCCCGTGGCTTTTATGGGTGGTTGTTGCTGATGGTGACTGTGGCTTGTCCAAAGTCCACCACTCCTCCTGGACTGAGAGGAGACTTGGAGCATTCCAGCTGTGCCTGGGAATGGCTGTTTCCTGGGATCTCTCCCCCCTGAAGCACAGGGTGGTGATGGTGTGGGGAAGCAGCAAATGACTGTTAATTGGTTATTTAGGGGGAACAGCTTTTGGGGTGAAACTGGGAACTTCTGGAGGGGGGGAAATGTGTGTCCTGAGGCAGGAGGAGCTGTTGGTTTTAGGGGATCTTTGGGCTGGGCAGGGATCTCAGCCCACCATGGGGGAGCTGGAGACTGGCAGGGATGAGACCCCCGAGCTGTCCAGAGTGTCCTGATCCAAATCTTCCTTCCCTGGACCACGGGAACCCTGCCCCCAGGACATGCCCATCCCGGGGCCTGGGGTCCTGTGCTTGTGCTCTCCCTGCAGGCTGCTGGAAGGGAAGTGGGATAATAATGGGAAATTCCTGACATTCCGAGGAGTCTGCGCAACCTCGACCCATCTCAGTTTCTCAGCCCCCTCTCTCAGGGCTCCCTTTGATGCTGCTGCTGCTTTAACCCCTTCCCAACCTCTGCCTGTCCTGCCCCTGCCCCCCAGGGCAGCTCTGGATGTTTGGAATTGTGCACAGAAACTTGAGTTGGATCCTTTGTTCTTCCCACTGTGCCTGTCTTGGAGCAGAGGGGAGTGAGGAGCAGCTGGAAGCTGCTGGCACAGGAGGCTCTGCCAGCCCCGGGTTGCAGTTCCAGGGGCTGGGGGGGGAGTGAAGGGAAGCTCCAAGTTTGGATGGAGGGCTGGTTCCCTCTGGAGAGGGTCCTGGGGAATGAGAAACTCCAGGCAAGGTGAGAGTGCCTGGCAAAGGCCAGCCCAGGAGGAGCCCACCCTTCCCAAAGGGAGTCGAGGGACAAAATCTTCTGTCCCCGGAGAAGGGGGTGGAAAAGCAACGTTTATCCTGGCAGGGAGAGAGGCTGCTTTTCTGAACATGCCTCAGCACAGGGTCTCCTCTGTTTGAGCCGTGGCCTCCTGCCAAATTCCTGAGTTTCTTTCTTCAAGAGAGCAGGAGGAAGAGGGCTGGGCTTCCTCCAGCTCTGACATTGCCCCAGCAATAAATCCCTGAGAAGCCTTTGGGGACAGTGGCTGGTTCCCTCTGCCCTCCCCGTGCCAGGGTGTGGGAATTGCCTGGTGGCAGCTGTGACTGTCTCCACCCTCCTCCCTGGGCTCCAGCTGGGCACTGGGGGGACTGGTTGCTCGCTGGGAGCAGCATCCAGGGCTGGGCTGGACTCTGTGAGCACTTTGAACTGGAACAGGAAGGGAAAATCCAGCTGAAGTCTGAGACTGGTTTAAATGAAAGCTGTGGGGAGAACCTGGATACAAGGGACAGGCAAGACCTGTGTTTGAGGGCCCAGCTGCTCCCAAATATACATTATATGTGGGTTTTAATATTTAGCTGGCTGTGCTGGGGGGATGGCAGAGCTGTGCTGAGGCTGAGGGAGCAGGGAGGTCCCAGTGCAGGTGGTACCTGTGGCTCAGTGAGCAGCACAGATCCCGCCTGGAAAATCCTGTCTGGGAGTTCAAAGCTGAATATTCAGTCTGGGGAGGCTTCAGAGCCATCCCTGGGCAGTGATGCTGCTTGGAATGCTGAGGGAACGCTGGGATGGGGGGAAGGAGCAGAATCCTGGGCAAGAGGCTCCTTCTCTGCCTCTCTTGGCTACAGGGGATCATCTGCTGCTCTCCCTTGAAGCCATCAAGACAAGAGCCAAGGCCAGGCTTTATCTCTGCGGGTTTGCCCGAATTCCTGCTGCTGAACAAGCAGTTCCCAGCTGGATGCATCCCTGTCCAAAGCCCTGGCTGGGCACACACATCGGTGTGGTGGATCAGAGGCTCTGCTGCTGCTCCCGGGGCTGGGCTCAGGTTTCTTTCCCTGCTGCTGCTGCAGAGGAGCTGCAGGAAGTTCCTGCCTGACTTGCAGCATTCCCAGGAGACCCAGCCTGGCCTGGCACATCCTCCTGTGGTGGGATGGTGCTGCCCACCCAGACCCCCTGCTCGGCTCCACCATCCCGGGCTGTCCCATCCCACCAACCCAGAGCCCCGGGACGTCTTGGTGCTGCTCCACCCCTAAAAACCCCTCACTAAAACCTGCATTTTTTTCTTTTTTTCCTCCTCGAAAAGGGGCTAAAGGTTGTGTGAGGCTGCCAGAAATATCCCCCGGGGGGGGCGGTGTGTGCCGGCAGGTCCCCGCTCTCCATTCTGCCGTGACCTTCCGGCTTTCCCTCCCGGAGCTGCTTTTTCCTGGTGGAGAAACCACACCCGGCGTGGCCCCAAAAACGTCCCGGAGGGGAGGGGGGGGCGGGGGATCGGGATGCGGGGCTGGAATTCCTCCCCTCTGAGTCAAGGAGAGCAGATCCCGCCCAGCTCACCTGGTGTTCCCCGGGCACGGCGGGAGCTGGGAAACCTTGAAAATCCCCGGGCATGACCCAGAAAAACCCCCCTCCCTGGCGGATTCCTCGCCGTTAAAAACCCTGCCTTTCCAAGGGATCTGATGCCTCCGGGCTAATTCCCGGCTTGGAAAAAGTTAGTGAGCAGCTCTCCAAGGAGCCAAGTGATCGGCTCTTGGCATCGTTCCCTGCTCCATCTGGGAGCAGCTTTCCTCGCTAATAAAGTGATCCTCCGAAGTGGAGGGGGGGGGCAGGAAGGGAAAGAGGAACAACTGTGCTGCTGGGATGGAGTCCAGGTGTTTATCCCAGGCTTTATTTGTGCCCAGTTCCTGGATGGGAGGAGCTGCCTCTGTGCTGACTCTGCTTCTTCTGCACTTGGGGGGCAGGGAGGTTGCTGGAACCCCAGAATTCCTGGATTTGGGGGCTATGGTGCTGTGGTGGGCTGATCCCGCTGCTCTGCTGCGCTTGGGGAAGGGCTCGCTGAGGAGGAGAGAGGATGTGGCGTGTGGGAAAGCGCCTGAGTAATGCTGGGATTTGATGGCTGCAAGGCTGGGAATGTTGGTGAATCCTCTTTGGGGTGGAGCATCTGTTTCTGGAGGGCTTGGGAAGGGCTTAGTCCTGGGGCTGGCAGTGCTGCTGACCTCTCCCAGCTGACACTGTTCCCCCTGGAAATCCCAACATTCCACAGGGCTCTCCACCCCACCCCTGGCTGTCACCTCTCCCTGGCTGGCTTCTCCTGCCAGGTGCTGGAATGAGATGAAACCAGGGATTGCCCCAGTGAGCCCAAAGCAAAGCCTTTGTGGATGAAGCCTCTGGTGAGGTGGGAGGGGGGGAAATCCAGCCGGGATTCGTGCAGGGCCCTCCCCTCCCTCCCGGGCTCACCCTGCACTGTGTTGCTCCTTTCCAACAGCCCCAGGTGTTTTCCACACACCTGGAAGAAGTTTTCCAGCTGCTCCTGGGGTGAGGAAGAGGGAAATATGTGCA